AAGGTCTGTGAATTTCTATTAGATTACATGTCGTCATGTCCCAAAAGCTTCAGTCTTCAAATTTATACATTTATTTTGTGATTAGGATGTCATTTTAAGATGGATATTTAAGATATAGAACCAAAACTACTATCGTATAACAGAAATGGCCCAGAAAGTAATACGAAACACAAAGCTCAGTGTACGTTCCACGAGGTTCTAATTGAAACATTAAGAACTTCTCAGAAGAATTTCATGCTTTAACCCAACTAGCTTCTGTTACAGATCTGTGTGGAAAATACTGATCAGAACTCTGCCAGCACGCATAAGAAACTACAGGATATTTGTGCATTAAGACTTGTTAATATATTTGTGTGACGAAAGAAAATGATAACAAATGACAGACAACTTAAAATTATTCATAGCTTCTTCCTGGCAAAAAAAAAAAAACAGGAGAAGATATTAATACTGGATTCAGTACTGATGTCTCATGGCAATTACACTGAAAAAGGCAGGTAGACTGAAAACAACTCCTTCTGTCTCCTTCATAATGAACAACAGGATATGTTTCTGCAGCAGAATGTGGAGATAAAGCCAATAATAGAGGAAAACACAAGAAGGAGGAAGAGGACATGAAAGAAACATGGGATAAAGAGAGGGAGAGCGTGAAGTAAATAAAACAAACCGAATTATATGAAGACAGAGTGTGTACATGTATGCCTATGATATAACGTGATGAAAGGAGATGCTGCAATGATATAAATAAGTAAGTGATATTACTAACGTCTTCTGACTGGCAACAGTTCAGGATAAGCCTTCATGTTGGGCTCAACACTCATGTGTCATGGGAGTTATGGCAGACAATTCCCGCTGTCTCTTTCGTGCCTGAAAGTACTAAGTACAGGAGGTACAAGTTAAAGTTGTCCCTGTGCTTAACGAATTAAGGACTACACCATGAAGACTTATGGGGGAGTGGATGTATAGATCAACATTTTCTTGACCTCGGCACTAGTTGGAGGTGAGTGGTCAGCTTCACGCCTCTACCGCTTTACCACCAAGGAAAGAGCCCCCGGTATCCACTGGATAGGAAGTTGGGTAGACCCCAGAGCCGGTCCGGACGACACGAAGTGAAAATTTTTGGCCCCACAGGGACTCGAACTCCGACCCGTAGCCAGTCGCTATACCGACTGCGCTATGCCGGCTCAAGTACAAGTGTAATTTAATTTTACTTCAATGCAGAATAAGTTAGTGTTAGTTCAAGTGACCCTTGCAAATCGAGAAGTGATTTAAATTACATTATTTTTAGAACGTAAATTTCGTTTCAAATTATAAGCCCGCACGTGGAATGTGGATGACATGGCGCGAGGTACATTTAAATCCGATGACACATGCGTCACTGTACGTAGGCTGCTGAACCGGTGACGTCATAGCTTTCGTCCTCAGGAAACAGGGACAAGTCACATGCTTCAGCCTCTTCCATTTTCCGGACTTCTCTACCAACCCCCATAAAACGCTTACTTTATATCTACTTCCCCTCCCATTGTTTTTCCTTCCATCAGGAAATTCGATTTCCAGGAGACGCCATAACGAATCTGTCTTCTTTCCCTCCCACTTTTCTTCTCCATCTTCCTTGTCTTTTATTCTTCCCCGTTATTTGTTCAGTAATTTGCGCTGGTCTCATTTTAATAGTAACAACAAACTATCCGGCCCAAGATGGAAGCAGGAGGACAGGAGTACACGCTAAGAAGCCAAGTCTACTGCTGTCTTCCCAGCAGTTGGCCCAAACAGCATTACAACGATATCTTTGCGGTCATAGTTCTTATGTAGCATCTTCCCTGAAGACAGGATGGGTCTGTCGGTTAAATTACTACTGGTCTTCGCCAGTACAGTCATTCCTGGCTTCATTCTCTTCGAGATGCATGACAAAGATTTTTTATTCTCTCCTACACATCTACGTATTCCGAAATGGGGCCTCCTCTTCAGAGAAGGAGGGGTCAGTCTTTCTACATAGACGGCACGTTTGTTGCGCTGTAGATTGAGCACGAGTATATCCGCACTGTCATGGCCTCCAGGTCACTGTGGACTCTGTGCACTTTTTGTCACTGCATTACACTACTTTTTATTGTTAGTGGGGTTGGACTAAGTCCCTTGTACTGCGGCCAATTCTGCCCTACTGCACCAGCCCCAGATGATAGGTGAGGGTGATTGTGGAGCAATTGGTGGAACCAAGATTGGCAGGGGAAACCGAAGTACTCGGAAAAAACCTGCCCCAGAGCCATTTTTTCCACCACAAATCCCACTTGACCAGACCCGGGATCGAACCCAGGCTGCCGCGGGGGAAGCCAGTGACTAACCGCTTAAGCTATGGCGCGGCCTGCATTATACTAAGTAACATTTATACAAGCTATACAGAGGTTTCCTGTCAATGCAGGCTTAACTTATGCAATTGTTCTGAAACTGCAGTTAGTTAACCGAAGGGTCGTAAATATGACCGCCGCCAAGTTTAAGTCTCTTATATTTCCCGCGCCTGCGTTTTCCTTGTCCAATACGAAGTAGATTTGAATTTATGTGGTTTCGGATTACTACTGCCTGTGTTCTGTACAGTTTAGTTATGTAGTTCTACACGTAGCGAACTTTGAAAGCCACGTGCAATTCGCGGACTGGTGTGCACCTGTCAAGATTTCCAATAGCTCGGAGTACTCTATTCTGCAGGCGCTTCGGTTTCAAGAGGTCAGCGTCCGCCGTATGCTCCCAGGTGGGACAGGCATAAGTCAGAAGTGACTTAATCAGAGCTTTGTAAAGCGTAAGTTTAATATATGTACTTAAACGCCCAATTTCGAATAGAGAATAGATCCTTACGTACGTCAGAAAAGCCTTGGCTACAGTACTTTCGATGTGGTTTCTCCATGCCATCCCCATGTGGAAAGTGACACCGAGGTACGTTATATTATTTACAAAGGGAATGTTTCTACCGTTTAGTTGCAGTACGCCGTCAGGGACTCTAAGCCTTCTGGAGAAATCGACCGTCTGAATTTTCTCTTCATTGATCTATATGTTCCAGCACTGACACCACGACCCGACAAGAGTGAGGCAGCGCTGCAGCTTGCAGAGAACACGACGCTCAAATGTCTCTGTTGATGCGATCGAGGTGCATCGGGTGCATCATTTATGTACAGGCTGTACAATACTGGTGCAAAGACTGGTCCTTGAGGAACACCTCCAGCTATTTTTCGTGGCGTAGACAATTCAGATTCAAATTTTCTTTCAGCGCGAAAAGACGCAGTTAGCTTAACGAGACTTGTCGAATCAGAGTCAAAGTCACATTGCGACTAATGGTCATTCAGTCAGTCAATCTTGGTGTTGAGCCCAATCTGGGACTTATGATTAGATATTTATTACTCTTTCACAATTTCCCACTTGTTTTTGTAGGGCGCCCTCTCTGACGAGAGGAAGGGTCTGTCTTTTGTCAGAGTCATTGTCTGCAGTAGTGTCATTTGTCATAATTTAAAGGACATTTACATTTTGCAAGTTAAACATGTTAATAAATGTATATAAAATATATACAGGGCCTCTGTCAATCCAGGCTCAGTATAGTAGATTATGCCCCATTTCTAGTAGCTTCGCTACAACGTAGTCTAATCACTTGAACGGTCGTATGCTTGACCGCCGCCAAGTTTAAACCCCTTATACTTTCTATGTCGGGTTTCGCCTTGTCCAATATTGCGAACATTTTCGTTATCATGATATTGTATGACTTTCTCTCGTTGAACACATAATTATGTTATATAGTCATATACGTAAGGAATTTTGAAAGCCATGTGTAAATCGCGAAGCGGTGTGTGCCTTGGAAAATCGCACTGTCGAAATCCGAAGTCACATTGCGACTGACGGTCAGTCAGTCAGTAAGCCTTGGTGTCAAGCCACATCTGGGGTTTATGACCAGATATTTATTACTCTTTCACAGTTACGGTCTTGTTTTTGTGAGCTCCCTCTCTGACGAGAGGACGGGTCTGTCTTTTGTACATGCTGCTTGCCCTTGTCAGCGCAGTTTTTCTCGGGCCCGAGTCCCTTGGGACTCGTGACCATATTTTACTGTCTCAGATTTGAGACTTCCCTTTTTGTCGTCTCCTACGACTCGCAGGGTCACGATTGAGGTATTCGATCCCTCTTCCACACGGGTTCGCACTGTCGAATTGTTCCATAGCCCCTTATATGCATTCGGCACGGACAGCAAAGAAAACGCCGCTTCCAACAGTTCCTCCATTGTTGCGTGGGTCGTTGCTAAACGATGTGTCAAGCACTGTTTGAATTTTTACACGGCCGTTGTCTAGCATTGGCTGTTTTACTGGCTCATTATTCTGTCAGACCTCATGTCAAGATATCTTTACAAAACATTTAAAAATTAGTTTCAGGCTTATCAAAACCCAAATTGCATAAATTTGTCTCCGTACTCGTAACAGAAGTAATTATTCACTGCACGTGTCTTTACGGCGATTTGCGATAAGCCAGAACATTATCAAAGTGTCTAACGGGTGGTATTGACAGGCGTCACTACAGTATCGCCTTCGTCACTGAATACCTTCATCCGATATCACGGATATGATCCCTTTCGACGTTATCTTTAATGCCCGTGGCTGCGTTTGAATCATTAAGAGTGAATGTGTTGATTCATGTCCGACTGTACAGGTTTGATTGATGGGGTCTGTATACATGACGTCACGTAAACAAAAAACGGAAAATATTTATTCATTTCTGCTCATCACACGAGACCAAAATTTTTTTTGACAAATTAAAATTAATTCTCTATATCCCACAAGGGTATTCATAGATCCTTACTCAAATAAAAACTTGACATATTTACGTGAGTAAAGTCATCGCTGTGTTTAAAGAATTAATGTCACAAAAGTCAATATTGTCTCTGTGTGGACATGAATCAGATTCTGTTGGTCGCATAATCGTTTAATTGAATGCAAGCAGGTGTCATGAGCTCGCTCTGCAAAACGAAACGCAACATGACTTACCTAAGGGTAATCCTACGTCAGAACCGCAGATGTGAACCAACTTTCACGAGTTTTGTGACTACTGCAAATTCACCCGTGAAGAAGACCATAATTATATCCGTGATGGCCAGGATAGTGACACCCACAACCCTGTAACACAAGATAAATGATGAATATTTAGAAATGTCTGGACACCTGAAGGGAAGCTAGAGGGGACTGCATGAATATGAATTTCATGATTTATACTGACCACAAAATAATACTAGATGAATGAAATTAAGGAGGGTATGGGCAGGGCATGTAGCATGCTTCGATATATGAGAAATACGAAAATTTTAGAAGGGAAAACATCACTTGCAAAACCAAGACATAGACGAGATGAAAACAGTGAAGTTGATCCAAAAGAAATAGGATAAGAGTATGGGATGTGGCGCTGTGTAGATGTTGTGTGAACTGACGTTTCGAAGGAAAGTATCGCTTCCATCTTCAGGGTAGGAAAATCCGCGAGCGAGGAACCAGTTTGAGCAGATGGCTGCAGACTTAAAGTATATTTGATTCTAAAGTGTTCTGAAGATAGTGTACAACACACAGTATTGCTGGGGTTTTTGGACTTTGTCCGTCGTCCGTTATTGTAAAGAACACCAAGGAGCACAACGTCCTGTCTAGTGACTGAGGTTCGCTCTTTCTAACGGAGCCAACAGAAGAGGTGTCTCCGATCGCCCCCCCCTCACCTGAGGACGGAAACAGCTCTAGTTTCCGAAACGCTGTGTTCTTTAGAATACCAGATGATGCACAAAGTCCAAACCCTAGTAATCCAAAGTAAAGGAACGTTCTTTAGGGTAATAATCTCGCCTTATTCTGAGACTCATAAGGGTACGAAAGTTAAAGTTGTCCCTGTAAAATGCAGTGGAGGTCCATAGGAATGTGAGGGTTGTCGCATTTTCTAGTCAATCGGCTCACAGATGGCGCTGAGGTTGTCAGCCTTACACGGCGGCCGCCCTTTACCCTCAGGAAGATCCCTGGCAGTCATTTCTGTTAGAGGTTGAGTCGATCCCAGGGTCATAGTGCGGCTGGAAGGATTGGGTCAATTTAAAAATCTAATGACCACATCAGGAATCGAACCCGTGATATTCCGGCTTATAGCAGAGTGTCCCCCTTGAGACCAATATGAAAGCAAAAAAAAAAAAAGTAAAGTAAAGCTATCCCTGTACCAGGCCGTGAAGGCCCATAGGGTTGTGAGACGTTGAGGGTCCCACACTATCTAGACAATCGGCTCACAGATGGCGGTGAGGTTGTCAGCCTTACGCGCCGGCCGCGCTTTATTCCCCAGGAAAATTATTTAATTAATTCCTGGTACTCATTTCTGTTAGAGGCTGAGTAAACCCCAGGGCCTAGTGCGGCTGGAAGGATTAGATCAACTGAAAAATACAATGACCTAATCGGGACTTGAACCCGCGACCTTCCGGCTTGTAGCATAGCCCCTCAACCAACTACGTTACCGCGTGCTCCCGAGACCCATATGTAACATAAACAAACTCTGTGAACAAGATGCAGAGGTTTCGAAAGCCGGAGCTGACGTACGGTGATCACTGTGCTCCGAGCGGCTAACAGAGTAGTTGAAGTCTTTCTGCTTTAGAACCACCGTAGAGCGCCATCCTGTTCCAACAAGTGCAGCAGAACTTAGGGTCTCCATCGCTGCCATCCGCGAGTCACGGGAAGACAGGAAGGAAGCTTGGAATTACTTTGAAACAAGGAGGAAGGAGTGAAGAGATGAGGTGGGGGGTGAAGTGACGACGGATCCACGGAATCAAGGGTCGTAGAAATATTCCTAGAAGTAGAAGATCTTCTGCCTTTATTTCTCCGTCTCTTTTCTTTTACCAACCGCCATATTCTCGCATTTTCCCTATCTCCCTTATGTTTTCTCTATTCTCTCCTTCCTTATCCGTTCTCTTAGTTTGAGTGTTATTGCTGTCGTCTACGAAATTTCGTCAAAATGATTTAATTGTCAAGTCTCGTTCAAGATATTACATCAGGAAGCCTTATGAGTTACGTAAACAATTATTAAACGCGTTTCACTTAGAACTCAAATATGGAACAATAATATTTTGTTTCCTTGTTCTCCCCCTTTTCTCTCCACCCTACCCCTCCATCTGTAGTTTGCTCAGAATGTTCCAGCAGCTCCTCAAGTTTACATTTCTTGTTCAATGTTTAACTAGCATATTATCTTAACTTCCTAAAAATTAAAAACTGAACACTTTAACTTAACTTAATCTATTCTCATTTTATATACTCAATACCAATCACGAGTTTCAGTTTATCGAAAGAGAAATAAAATATTTTTTAATACTTATAATTATGTTAAGAATGTCACTGAAAACATTCTCTTAAGGTCGCTTCCCTTCTTTCTCTGCCTGCTAGTGGGTTCTCATGAACACGGAAATAAAATTCGGGTTACATAATGGGCGAGAATTTCTTGTCAGCGACTAATTAACTTAGTTCCTTTCCGTTTGAATTTCTCCATCGTAATTTAACCCTTTAAAACACAGCGCCTACTACATTTTCACCTGCTTCGACATTAAAACTACGTGGCTTTAGTTCGCAAGCGAAATATACCGACCGAGCGACCGCCGCTTGTCGGCGAAATTAGTGCCAACTAGCGGCTCCGGTCTAGAAAACCGAGATTAACGGTCGTGGAGATCCGTTGCGCTGACCACGAGACACTCTCTATCCGCTAAAATTGTAAAGTTGGCTTCAACATTAAAAAATCCGAATTTTGTCTATTGACCACTTTCTCCGTAGATTACTTTACGAAAATGTCAGTATCTAGACCCTATAGCAGACAGTAGTATGAATATATATATATAAATTGCAAGGAAGCGGTCGTGGCCTATTGGAGCTATGACATGTGTTGAAGGACTGCAGGACATCACGAAGAATTCAGACAGGATTTTCGGTGTTCCGGTCGAGATTCGAGCCCAGAATAATTCGAATACAAGGTCTACCGCTACATCAACCTGTTAACCTTTGGCCTATTGTGCGTTTCACATGGCTGTCGGCTAGTATTTCCTCTAATGGTATCAATAGATTGGTCTCTAAACGGAGTCATAGCGTTCCCTGTGAGGTAGGAACTGAATTTATATGTATTATTGATATGGATTTCACGCTTAATCACGAGGTGAAACTCCAGATAGAAAGCATCACACACTAAACCCTCGCTAATCTGGATTAATTTGGGGATTATCCTGATTAACAGACAATCCGGTTTACTGAAGCAAACTATAGCCCTAAAAGATTAAATATACTATAAAACAAATAAAAGGAATTTTCAATATATGTAGTACTAATGAAAATAAATAAAGAAATATCACTGCAAAAATTTTTTCTTCTCTCAGAAGCTGAAATCCAGGGTCTTCTTCATCCAGCTCAAGCAAATCTTGGATATTTTCTTGCGTGGTTTCGGTCTCTCCAGCTGCCCTCAACACAGTCTGAAAGTCCCTTTGCTCTAATCCCTCTTGCTCCTAAATCTCATGTGTCTTTCAAAGTATGCATTCAACTATGAACAGAATTTATCATATTTCGATCCGGATTGACTGTAACCGGATTACCGAGGGTTTACTGTGTACTGTTTACGGTCTATATTTTGGGCTTTGCCCACGGTGGAACCGTCCCTAATAAAGTTCATCAAAAGTAACGCTCCAAAACCCAGTGTTTACCATATGTACCACCTGCTTCAACAAAGTACATCTCTGAATTCTGTCCACACAGTGTATTGTATCTGAAGGATTTATAACTCATAATTATTAATTTATCGGGGATTTTTTATTTAATATGACTGTTCTTAAATGACATATTTTTTACTTTTTATTTATGTAATTTAAGGCCTTAACTATTTATATTTTATACTGTTTTAATGTTAACGATAGAAACCGCCATTAATACAGCTTCGCCATCCTCTCCCACTCCTGAGTCGTGTTTCTGGTAGCTCAGAGAAGAAGAAGAACAAATTCGTAACCACACCCAGAGAGAAAATTCCGCCGGTCATCATCCACCAACAATTCCACGGTGACATGACCAAACTTAACAAAGATTTTCACACAAAATTCCAACCTATAAGCTTCACAACCTATAGAATGAAAGCTGGCATAGCATGTCAGACTTCAACATACAAAGATTACCTCAACATACAAAGCTATTTAAAAGAAAATAAAGTTCCATTTAACCTTACTAAACACAACGATTCCAAGCCGTACAGGGTCATAACTCCGTAACCGTTCAAAATCGGACACATGTTTATATGAACATTTGATCACAAAGACCTAGGAAATTACCTCCTGCAGTTATGCCCTAAAGTCGTGAAACACCCTGTATATTCTGCCCACGCAGTGTACCTGTGTGTTCCATATGGTTCTCACAGTAAACAGCGATTTCTTCCCTTAAACACTACTAAACTGTTTGTCTTTGTAGCGGAGAAGTAATAGGTTTCCTGTGAGGTATGAACTAAATTCTTATGTATTATTTAGAATAAATTCACTCTTTAAAGGTTTAGTCTACACTACTGTCAAAGACGCTACAACTATTTTTCAAAATTTTACAATTCGACATGAATATAGAAAATCAAAATTCAGCGGTCAGTCTCAAGCCACTATTTCTAACCATTCTAACGTCTCCACTTTCACTGTAATCTTATCAAAAGGACTAACAGGCTAAGCCTGGGAACCTTGTAAGAGAACTATGCTTTTGTCCCACCCAATAATAAAGCGTTCTCACTTTCTGATGATTTTTGCTCCATCTATATTTCTCGTGTACTCCCTAACTTTAGCGGCCGGCGCGTAAGGCTGACAACCTTGCCGCCATCTGTGAGCTGATTGTCTAGAAAATGAAGGAACCTCAACAACTCACAACCCTATGGGCCTCCAAGGCCTGTTACAGAGATACCTTCACTTTCTTACTTTTTACTTTACCCCCTAACTTTATGTCCCTTTCACGCTTAAAAAGTTCAACATTAAGGTTCAGTACTTGAAAGACTGAAATATGTATCACGAATATTTTCATCAAAATTTCAAAAACCAGTGCCAAAAGAGCTGGCAGGTGTTGCCTGCAAGTCATCTCTCACGTGT